GCTTACTTCCTTGCGTACGGATGACAGCTACGTATGACTTAATTGATTTTCTGGTGCTTTCACTTCCAGAGACAGTTGTAAGCACTGTGTAACTGCCTCGAGGATGCTTGACCATTTTAATACAACGTGGTGCGATCATCCCCCGTTGCGCGGAGTGAGGGTTCTCCACCCCGCACAACATGATGTACTCGACCACCATTATGGTTACCGCCAAAAAAAAAAAAAGGTAAAAAAAAAACGGTACCCTGGTTGCCGAGTTCACGAAGTGAATTGGCTTGTTTTACAACGTCGTTGCCAAGCGACGAAAACCCAATCCCGATGGCAAACACCGAGGGGCGTACTCTTATGTTTTGCATGCCTTAGCGGTTAGACCATTGACCACGCGTCCTCGAGAGGACGGAGCATTGTTCCCACAGGACCGATCACCGATGGCCAATCGTTCCTTCCTACTTTGCCAAAGGTGGCTAAAAAATGTCTTCCCTAGTTTGTCTATCCTAACGATGTCCCTTCCCGCCTTTTCAAACCACTTTCTACTCCCCAGTACCGCTACCGTCCTCTCCTCCCTATTCCATGCCTCAAACATCTCCCTGTACGTCCCTTGTATTTTTCCCTGCTCAGTCATGTACACTTCCCTCTCCTTTTCGTACCACGGACATTCCGCGACTACATGAACACTGTCTTCGCATTCGGAGCCGCAATCACATTTGAACTTGTCGTCTTCGTCGTCTACCGTCCTATGTCTTCGTCGACGTTCGCGAAGGCCTATGTCCCCGGTCCTGAATTTGACCTTAAGCTTTGTCCCTGCATCCATTGGTCCATGTAGGTAATCCTTGAACCCTATTCCTTCTTTCAACATTCCGTACACTTCTAGACCCTTCTACCCTTGGATTCTTTCCTTAGATTCTGTTCTTCTCTGTCGGCACAAGCAACAGATATCTTCTTCTTGAACCCCTGTAGACCCTCCGTTTCAAGCGTTTCATCTTTGTCGATGTCCAATCCCTTCCATATGTCCTCTACAACCTTGACCCATTCCGTGGGTTGTCTACCCCTCTTTTTGTTTGCCCACTTCGCCTCCCATACTATTCTCGGCAATCTCTCCTCTCCCATCCCGCACATGCGATACTGCCATGTCAGCTTCCTTACGTCTCTTCCCAAACACCGAGGGGGGGGCTTGTTTTACAACGTCGTTGCCAAGCGACGAAAACCCAA